TCGAGTCGTGGTTTGGCTCCTGATGCATTTTGCGCGTCTCTCCGGAATTCTCCGGTTGCTGCATCGGTTCGGTGCAGAGTTTCGGTTTTGCTTGTTAGAGCCGCGGCGTTCCTGTGGCCGTGGGATGTAGCTTTGGCGCTGTTGACGTTCTCTGCCATTCTGCCAAAGGTTTTATGGCTGAAATAGGACCTGGTCATTGATCGATAGAACTGTGGTTTGTAATAAAGCACAGGGACCGTTTCCTGGCAGTTAGCACATCCTAGAGTAATTATCTGTACTCCAAGGAATATTCCACAATGGATGAAAGGGTTTTCATACAAAATCATTATCAAACAGAACTTGTTTATTCTGCCATTGTTGAAAGCTTCTGGATTATGATAAAACCCCAAGCCATTAGGAGTGGTTTGGACCTAAATGCTGGACAGGATTCCTAGCTTCGTATACAAACTCAACATAAATTTTCAGATTTCTTTCAGGTAATAATAACAAAAATTATTTTGTTACAATAGTCAGCTAATACATGGATTGGATACAGCCATATAAGATAAATACAGACTACAGTCAATTAATTTTGCTTTGTCTCTAGGTGTATGCTTCCAATCTCTAATAACTGTTATTTTGCTGCTTCCTGGATTCAATTTAGCCCATTAAAATAAATTAAGTTGGTTCTCTGAAGTTTGTAGTGGCTTCTAGTCCCCGTTTGATTTATTCATATTCATAGAAAATGAAAGTTGTCTCTCAAGTAATAGCTCGGAGTCAAGGAAGACTAAAAAGTAGCTTGCTTCTGCAGAAAAGGAATGTTTCTTCTGACAACTTTGAAGTATAATTGAAGCTTGAGCGAGTCTTTCTTTTTTTATCTCTGCTGATATATTTTTGGACAGCATGATCATGATTTCTGTTGTAGTAATGTCTTGCAATGCCATGGTGGTTGCAATGGATTTGGTGAATGGTTTTATTTACTGAAAATATTCTGAGGGTATTTTGTTAATGCAAAAATTAGGGACAGAAAATGAATTTTTAAATACTGAGTATTTTGTTATTTGAGCTTGTTGCTTTGTAGGAGTAATAAACAATATAGGATGAGAACTGTAGACAGTAAAATTGGTGTGCCTGATCACATAAGTGAAGAAAACAGGAATTCTGTTTCAAATGAAGGAAATGTAGGCTATTATTCTTTTTCTTTTTCTAGCTTGCTAGAAATAAATAAATAAATCTTCCTCTTTCTTTCTGTTATCTCTGTTTTCACAGCTTGCTTAATGCCATTTCCATTGTTGATGAGGAAGATTTGAATATTGCCATGCAGACTATTTACCTAAAGAAATAATGACCTTTTTCGGTCAAGAAAAATGTCATCTAGTTGACAGTTTCTTCTGTGAATGTCACAGATATATATATATATATTTTTTTAAAGAAAGCAGCCTACCTGAATTTGATAGTTTCTGTGGTGACATTAGATAAGATTTCTACCAGTCCACCACTTCCCCCCCGCCCCCTTCCATGAGCTTATTGTCCTCAAGTTCTGCTCAGGCATCTGCCTTATATTCAAGCCTTGGGCCATGCTAAAGTATCATAACAATAGAAGTATTTCTAAGTGCTAGTGTATGAGATTTGAGGAGGTTTATATTTGTGAGGGAGGATGAAGAGGAGAAAGAAAACTCTACCTCAGTAATTGTGGGAAAAATCCCCAAATTGGCATGATTTGCAGAATTCCTTTTTTTTTTTTTTGGAAAAGAAATTAGCCTGTTCTTAAACTAAATTAATCTGACAGTCTTAAAGGGGGATACTGATAGATAGGTTTTTTCATGCTGCTTAAGGGATTCTTAAAACATATTCTTCAAGGAAATAATGGCCTGCAGAGTGAATTAAAATAGCTTCTAGGTTTTCTCTTCATCACTCAATAATGTATGAAAAAGCTGAAAATTTTTTATTTTATTTCTGTAACATGAAGCGTCAGCCCTGGTTATTTCTTTATATCACTTGGAAAAGTCTTTAGTAATGTGAGGTATATATATAGTGAAGCATTTTCAACTTGTATCTGAGGTAGCAAAAGCATCTAAAAACTTTGATGATGACGTGTTTCCTTCCTCTTTCATAGATGTTTGAGTAAATATGTGTGAATACAACTTTTCAATAGCTCGTCTGAACATTTTCTTTCCTTCTTTGTCTATCTTTTAGCTTTTTGTAATTCTGCAGTCCTGTAAGTACCAGCTATTTGTTTCAAATAAAAGAATGTTATTTTCCAGAAAACTGTAATTTGGGGGTTTCTTGCTCTTTCTGCATAGAGCATGAAGATAAAAAGCTGAGGTTGTCTTCTGTAATCATGAAAAGCAGAATGATCTGGAGTTCAGACAAACTGGATTTTTTTAAAGGTGGTTTCTTCCTCAGCCTACTTAAAAGATCCTGTTTGTAGCACAGCGTCAAAACCAGTTTTTTTAAGTCTATCAAAAGGAAGGTGAACAGTGACTCAAGGTAGAAACGAGAAGAGCAGAAATGAGCACTGGAAACCAGCATTGCTGCTGAAGAAAATATTCATGCAAATGCATCCTCTATTTCCCCTCTCTCTTACCCTCTCTGTTTTTCTTGCTTCCTCTCTCTTTGATCTGCTCCCCCTCCTTTTGCCCCAAAGTTAGAGGTATCCCCTTGCTTTGACAGGTGGAGGAGCGTGCCTCTTTGGAGGTTTCTTCTGCCCTTGATGCCTATTTGCAGTGCTAGTTAGTTAGAGTGGAGGTAAGTGCCTTTTGCTCTGTAAAAGCTGTAGTGGTTCAGCAGTTCCATGTCTGTGGAAATTGCTGAAAACTTCCTTCTGAATTTGCCTTCAGAATATTACTTCTTATATATAGAACACGAGAAAAGTTGAGACTGTAGATCACGGGGTTATTAAAGAAGCACTGAGAGATCCAAAGCAGGGATATAACAGATACAGATGCAAAAAGCTGTCCAGAAGCTCAGTGCTGGTCTTCCTAATTTTGCATTATCAGTAGTGCTAGGAGGTTTAAAGTGGTTCCAAAAGTGAGTCTTTTCTGCTTTAATTAAGTTTAAACGTTTCTAGTCGCTCTTTGTTTGAGCAAAAATATTTCTGTAAGATGATTACCTTTCAGTGCTAGTCCTTCTCAGCTGTCATTTCTGATTCCAAAACATCCAACTCCATTTTACTACTAGAACGTCTGATGGTAGCTTCCACTAGGAACCACGTGGTATATTGCCCATGTTTTCATTTTCAGTACGTTATTGTTAAAATGAAAGTATTGCAGAATTTCCTGCCCACTGCACTGATAAATCATGTAAATGTCTGCTTTTTTTGCACAGTATGCCTAGAAGTGAGGCATTGTACCAAAATATTGGACGTGGGAGTTAATTCTAAGGTTACAGCAAGGAAAGCTCTGCGTGTCTAAAGCCTTTATGTTTTAGACAGACAATAACATGGTTATTTATGTCAACCACCAAGGGGAATGTGACCCCTCAGACTGTAGCAGGAACTGTCCAACTCTGGGATTGAAGAGCATCCTTGTGACTTCTCACTTGATGGGAAAAGGCAATGTCTTGACTGACTTCTTGAGCAGATACAACGGTGGGACACATGAATGATATCTCCTAGTCACTCTGTTCCAAGCTGAGTTGGAAGCCCAAACTGTAACGCTTCACTGCCAGAAAAAATGCCAGTGTTTCAAAACTACTTGACAGTAAACAGAACACAATGCTGGACAGTCATCTGGACTGGGACTGGGTAGTAATCTCATGTCCATGTTATCAATGCATTTATTGATGTAGAAAGTCAATGGGACAGAGCTAGAATGCTCTTGGTGATTGAAAGTGGAGTTGGCAGCTTTGTCTTTTAATCATTCTGGATCTGATGTCAAGACCATGAAACCTACTTCCAGTTCATTTGGTCTCTTCTTTAGTAGTGAGGGAACCTCTGTTTTGATCATACATGTCTCAACATGTCATGTTGCTTCTGCAGTGCTTTGGGTATTAGATTATTCGTCTGAGAGTCCAAGAGTTCTTTGGGGAAGATGCCTGCATTCAGGCAAACTCACTTGAAGTGGGAAAGATTGTCTTGCAATGGACCTGAAAAATCTTGGCATTTGAAGCAGGCACAACTAACTTGGTTTGACAGGGTTCTGTCTGTGTGCTGTTTCGAGTTCCTATCTTCACCTGCAAAAAATCTGTATTCACTCTTCAGATTTCACTGCGCTGTTTCCATGTATTCCTGCTCTTTTTTGAAGCCTTTTCCTTCCTAGACTTAGACTTCTGTTCTCATAAATGTATGTACCTTGATAATATTTGAGGGGTTTTTTTTTCATCTCTTTGAAGATGACCACCTTTGTAGTCCGTATCTGCCTAAAGAATGAGTGGGCAGGTGAGATGTAGGCATATGAGTTGGTCACCCTACATCCTATTCCACAAAGTAAATGTGTTCTGCATTTTAATTTCTTTTTTGTATGTATGTGTCTGAAGTAATGTCTGCTTCCATCTTGCCATGCAACTAATCTGCCTATATTTTCCTGAAGCTTTCCTGAAATTCATACTTCATAGCACTAAGGAGGGGTATTAATAGTAACAGGGAGATGGGAAAGCAAAAAATAGGGCTTCTCTGTGAAATCTGGAGATAATGTTTTTCTTTTTCAGAATGAAAGGCCCTGTAAGTAGACGAGGAGGATAATCTAATGTGTTTTCTTGGGTCTTTTAACTTATTTTTATCTGAAAAGGATGCCATTTCTTGCTACTTTGTGATGTAAAAGTTGGACATTATTTTCAGATAGTCTGTGGTATTCTGAAATGCTAACCCAAAATGTACACTGAGTAGATCAGTATGATTTTTGCCAGTGAAGTTCCTGAAGATTACATCTGGCATATTTCAGTAGTTAATCTGCTTCTAAGGCGTAACAGTGCTGGGTATGGAATTCACTGATGCACATTAATTAAAATATCTATGCTGTGTTCACTTACGCTATCTTTCGTTTTTCTTTTTCTTTTCTCTTTTCTTTGTTTTGTTAAGTATTGCAGGCTGTATGTACCGAGTAGTTCAGACGACGGGACCAGATGGAAAAAATCTTCTGAAATTACTTCCAATTTTTAAATCTTCTGGAACCTTTGTGCCAATAGTTCCGTCTTCAGCCATGCCAAATAATTCTAAAGCGAGTATTTCTAGTCCAGTCCATCTTACTTTTAAGACACAGCTTGCCAGTACTACTGCATCTTCATCTGTTAAGATACCTGTTTTTCAGTCTCCTGATCCTGGAAAGATTATTCTTACAAGGACATTAGACAAACAGGAAAGTGTTAGGGCAGGTTCTGAAAAAGAAAGCTTAATTCCAAAATCAACTGCTAACATCCAGAACAGTTGTGTTTCAGTTGATAGACTGTCTTTGCAGAACATTGCTGTAACAAGTTCATCTAACCAGAGTAACACTGCATACATGTTGGTAAACACAAAAAGTCTTCCAGTTACTGTGAAGTCTCCAGTACTGCCCTCTGGCCACCACCTCCAGATACCAGCTGATGCAGAAGTGAAATCTGTCCCAGCTTCTTTTTTACCACCTGCCATACAGCAAAAAATACTTGCGGCTACAGCAACAAATGTGTCTGGAGGAGCTGACAGTACAAAAATGCCAACTGTTATTTACGTGTCACCAGTGAACACAGTGAAAACGGTAATTCCCAAGCGTTTGCAAGCCATTTGCCCAAAACCTGCGACAGAAGTTTCAAAAACATTAATAATGACAGCTACACAAAAGGGAAGTAGTTCTTCTCCTGAGACAGTAACATCTGATGGTCAGCAGCGCCAGCAAACTCCAATGAAATGGATTGTGCAAGAAAGTCCACAGTCATCAGCGCCTTGCCTTATTCCTGTAAAGTCATCAAATAATATGGCTTCCAAGATCTTGAAAACTTTGTCAGACATGAAGAATGTAGAAGTTAACTCTGCAAATATTTTACCACTCTGTTCTAGTGGTCCTGGTGGAAGCCAAACAAAAATTACGTCTATTAAAGATAATGCTCTCGTCATGTACAATGGGAAAGTCTATTTGTTGACCAAAAGAGGCTCTGATGTTCTGTCAGCCCAAGCTGACAAACAAGCATCTTCTTCTTCTGATGCTTCACTTAAAAATGAAACATCCAAGCTAATCGATTCTACTGCAGTCAACAAAATAACCAATAAAGTAGTGAATCTGGTATTATCAAAAAACAAAGTAATGGTGCTGTCTCAGAAAGATGCAAACCCATGTACAAACTCAAAAAATTCTTCACCAACTGGCTTAAGAAATGACTTACAATCTACACCTGCAACTCTGGTGACACCAAGTGCTAATCAGCAGAATTCCACTGTAAACCAGAGAAAGAGTTTGCCCTTCACCGAGAGCATTTCAAGTGGAGTGACCCTTATTACAGCAGTAGGGACACAGGAAAATGTATGCCAAAATGGCAAAGAAAAGATTAATTCCCCCAAAGCAGCAAGTGCTGTTTTACCTCAGTGTAAGCAAGAGTGTGCTTTCAGTGAAGACTGGCAAAAGGTAACTTTCTCCAGTAAACATGCCCATCTCAGTCTCTGCTGAATTGTTATATGGTCCTGGTTCTATTTGAAAGAAATGGCTATTAATAAGTTCACAGATTTTTTGTAATCAGCTGTCCTGTCACTGGAAATGCTGGTCTAAAGTGTGGTTCTATTCAGTAGATGATCTTTTTTTTTTTTTCAATAAGATTGCACTTAGTGAGTGAGAAAATGCATAAAGAAAAGAAAGGGGCAGGGAAGAGATGACTTTGTTTCCTCACAAGATAAATTGTCAGTAACAACTGAATCTGTAGGAAAGTTTGAGCTCTGGGAGCTATCTGCTTTCTAATGTTGTTGATGCCACATTCTTACAGCACAGCCATTGTGTTGTAGGTGTGACGTAAGGTAGAGAAGTTCACAGCTACGCAGGGGAAAACAAGGTAGGAGAGCTGGGTTTGTCATCCAGAGACAAACTCTGGTGTTGCACCAAGTCAGGTCCAGTCTCTGCTAGCTCAGACAGCCAAAGGCAGGAACTGTGTTTCCTTACTTTCATGCATGATGGGGAGGGATCCACCTCCTTTGACTCATGGTTTCATGTCAGGCAGAAGAAACTCTTGAGATCTTGAATGGCTTTCCCCCTTCAGGCTGGACCTACATATTCTTTTAAGATCGTAACATCAAAAATATGTAAAAAGTCCTTAGCCTCAAATCTCACAAACTCTACCTATGAAGGATTGTAGCTCCAGTTTTTGGTTGCTCAAGAGGCCAGAATGAATTTGCCTCCAGATAAAAAAAATCATTCTGAAGCTAATTTATACTTGCTTTTGTTGACCAGGCAGAAAAGAAGTGTCAGATAAGCATATTTGTGTGAATTTTAGACATTTAATCATTGCAACAGACTGTAGGGCCTCTTTTTTGATTGTTCCTCACCTGAAAAATGGTTAAAATAGACTTTTTTTTCTTCAGTGCTGTGTGATGCCAAGTGTTAGCATTCTCATTTGTTTTAACTAATAGGAAATATAGCATATAAAATGTTTGCTGCTTTTAGTCCATAAATTTGCAAGCTCATGGATTGCCAGACATACTGATGTGAGATTGGACTTGAAGATCAGAAACAGCTCAGGTTGCAATGAGGTTAGATAGGAGAGATGGCTAGTAGTGCTTTGTTAGTATTATCAACCACAATACAAATATGAAATGCATTCAACAGTCTGAAAGTGACACTGTAAAGACACTGTCTGATCTTCAGTTATCTTCCTTTGTTACTTTGAAGTTTTAGAACAGCTGATTCCCTTGTTGCTTCTTTTACTTCTGTGGTTTACTAGTTGGACTGTGCATTTTCTGGATGTTCCACAACATACTTGGGGTTTTAAATAACTAACAAGAGTGTTAGACCTATGGTAATAGGTATATAATTTCTCACAATTGGCTTGCCTGTGTTAAATGTAACTCTTGGAGAATGGCAGACAAAAGAAATGTTCACCTGTCTTCCTGGTGACTAGTTTTTAGTTTATATGTATGGAGAGAGGAAGAGAGAGAGTGTGAGAGAGTGTGATTGATGGCACTCTCACTGTTTCTGTATTTCAGATCCAGTGTGAAAAGATGGATTCACCGGGAAAGGTTCAAATCAAACACCAAGAGAAGCCACACTGGAAACAATACTTGGAATTAAGGAAAAAATTTGGTCTCTCTAAGGAGGAGAGAGTGTACCTTAAGAGAATACCATTAAGGACCTCCTATGAGAAACCAGAAGAAAGGGTTTGTTCCAGTAACAGCTTGAAACAGAAAAATGATTCTTGCAGTTCGTCGTCGTTAGATGTGGAAATAACAAATGAACATCAGGAATGTGTTAAAGAGGAAAAGGTATCTTGAAATTTTCCAGTGCTAAAATGCGTGCTGCAACACATTCAGAAAGCAGTGTATGTATAGTCCATACAGAGCTGCATGTTTATTATCCTTGTACCCCTGGATTCATCAGGGCAAGTCAGTAATTGTTACGGTCCCTGTGAGAATTGTTCCTGGAACTTGTTTGTGTACCACAACAGAGTTCTGTGATTTCAGCATGACTTGAGTACCATCTAAGAATTTTTATCCTCTTTTCTGGGTTCCGCTGGAGGAAATTTCAAGAACAAATGCTTTGAAGAAGACTGGACCCTCTAGTTGTGGCTGAACAGTCAAAGGGGATAGTCTTTATTGGAATAGAAACCATACCTCTGTATCCTGATTTATATTTAGCCTTCTGCAAACAATTATGTTTATCCAGTAGTGCAATGGATATAAGCAGAATAATAGAAGAATAATTTCTTGTGAGGCTTTACCCTTGAGTTTGAAATCAGTCAAGTGCCATTATTTCAAGGCACTTCAGTCACTCACATGACTAGGTGTGGCTGACTTCCAAAGAGGGGTATCCACTTAGTCACGTGTGGTTTTATTAAAAGAAATTTACCTGTGTACTTGTCTAGTCTTTTAGAGTTACAAATGTCTTTATAAACTTAGTCCCTTGTCATTGGCTAGGAACTTGCTTGGGCCCTTCTGGAAAGGTTCTCTTAATGTAAGGACTTCCATCTTAATGCATTAAAATGATTTTACCCATCCAAAGTAGTTCTGTTCAGCCATAGTGTTCTAAATTTTCTTTTGTATGATTCCACTTTACCCAGTCAAAGGCTTTCTCAGGTTTTAATAGTTCTGTCTTAAGAGCCCTGCTCTGAGCAGATCTGCTGGCTGCTTTTAGTAAAGTACGTTAACATTTAAATAACAAAACACCTGGGAGGAATGCAGCCTTATAACAGACATTATTGTTAATGTTTGACCTTTTTGCAAATGTAAGCATGAAGAATTCTTCTACGTTTTGAATTTTCCCATCAGATAGAAAGTTCTTGTCTTTACACTACAGTTAAAGAACTTAAGCAGCAACAGGAGATGATAGGTATGCGTAGGAAAGGCAGAAGTGCACTGCTGACTAAGGAAGGAATTCAGTGTTCTGGAGTTGTTAACTGGGAATCTAGAAAAATACTGAACATGGAAGTATGTTTGCTCAAATTGCTAAAAGAAACATCTTCCATATAGTAATTCTAACAAGTTTGCAACAAGTAATGTGTAATTTGTGCTTAGTGAGCTGTGATGTTATAATGTAGAATGATACTCAGTTTAACAGAAGTATATTTTGTATGTTTCTTGACTGTACAGATAATTGTGGATCTGGAAGAGGATTTAACTAAGAAAAGAAAAATAAAATCCTCACCACTGTCAGACAGTGGAAAGAGAAGGAAAACTTCAGTCAAATCCACCACAAGTCCAAGTTCAGAAAATACCATCTCAAGTTCCAGTGTACATAACAGAAGTGTTTCACCTCCACCTGTCTTACTGCAGGAAAGTGTTTCCACAGACTTTGTTATATCGCCTATAGGGAGGGACTCTGAGCAAGACCCATACTCTCAATATAGTGACGTTACAGACTCAAGTATTCCAGTTTTAGTGTCTTGCGAAGGTGATACTTCAGTTCTTGAAGGTTCTTTCAGAGATGATGCTTTCCCTTTGACTCCCCCAGACTTGGATGAAACAATACGGGATGAAAAAATAAAACGACTTAAACAGCTCTTGAGAGAACGAGAAGCAGCGCTTGAAGAGATGCGTAGAAAAATGCAGCAAAGCTGAAATACTGAAGCTGGTGATCAGGACCATACTCATTTCAGTGACTTCAAGAAGAAATTCCTTGTTTAAACGAACATGAATTATTTCTGGTAGATGGAAGATCTTGATGAGATTTACAGTATGTTTGTATTTAGAAAAGTACAGGTTTATTGTTAAATGGCAGAAATAAAAGACTTGGACCGTCAGATTCTGCTTCTGGGACATATATATCAAAGAATACAGAAGATAGGCATTTTTGTTAGCGTATATTCTCTATATTTTGAATTGAGGGGTTTCTGTATTGGTCCTAGCAAATAAACTTTCCTGCTTTGGAATTCTGTGGCCTATCTCATAGAAACTGAATGTAAATTGCAAACCCCAATTGTAGATACTTTTTTGTTTTCCTAATGTTTTATAGTGCATGACAACTTTTGTGAATTCCTGCAAAATGTCAATTGTCATAAAAAAGTCAATGGTCAGTGTTTAATAAACGCTATTTAAGTGATCTGGGAATTAGACTTTAGGCAGTAATAATGCAGACATTTATACAAAACCTCTTGGATATCGGAAAATGGAAGCAGTAGAAACCCCTGCTGACAGTTATCTAGGTACGTGCCTCTTACCAGTATTTTTGTAAGCCTTTATAAGGCCTTCGCCAGCTTTGCAATGTTGAAGTTTGGTTGTGGCGTTATTTTTGCAGGGGGATGTGTATTTCTTTGAAACAGAATTATATTGAATAATAACTTGCTGAAGCGAAAAAAGCATATTTCTTTATCTAGCGGCGGTATCTTTAATAATACTTGAGTATCTTTTCCATTAATTCGTTCGGTCATTATTTGAACATGTCTCTTGCTACCTTCATTTGATGCTACCTTAGTTTTGCATTGTAGGAGAGAATGTGCACTCAAACGGTCTTTGCCGTAATTGTTATAGTAGTGTATTTACTCAGCATATTCTGTCATGTGTTGTATGGAAGTCTTTCACTACTCTCTGTTGTCCATGTCATTGAATCTTGTAAGCCCTTCTGCAGTTCTTCAGTCTTTATTGTTCCAGCCATGAACAACTGTTTTGTCAACAGAATTTGTCATTGTTTTTTTCTTGTCCATTTATGGTTGTATTCAATATTACTGATCCCTGTAGAACTCCATTGCTGATTTCTGTTCATGGGAGACTTTTCCTACTATTCTTATTTTCTGTATTTTAATCAAATTTTCATCTGCAAGGTTTTTCTCTATTATCGTGTGGATGCCTAGTGTATGTATAGGGTTTTGGCAAAGGATGTTACTTTGAAGATGTATCTTTGGAGAGCCTAGTAGACTCTATCACCCCTATGTTCCTTATTAGTATGCATCTTGACAGTGTGAAAAACTCAAGTGGATTAGAGAGGCAGGACAGCCTTTTACAAGGGAAGAAAAAGATGGTCCCTGCTCTGAAGAGCTTGAGGTAGAGAAGTGTAGGAGAAGATGATACACCAAACACGCAATGGTGGGTGAGAAGGAAGGTATATAATGGAACTAAAGTCTTTAATGATTGAGATTACTGTGTAAGAGGTAAGTGCCTGTGATAGAGCAAGCAAGCGAGGGTGATACTGTCGTGGACATCCGTGGGTTCACTGTGTATGGAGTGAGTGAGTTGGGGCAGAAATCTTACAGTTTAGCATAGGGAAACAGACACCTAATGGAGGGCTGATGCACAGCGGAGAGAGTGATGTGAGTGAATTGGGCCTCATGACCTACGTTATCATGCAGCCCAAGTATCGCAGAGCTAGGAGCACATGCCAAACAGCTGAGCACCTGAGGAAAGGACTCTTGGCTGGACCAGGGGCCTGCATCCTGTAGCCTGACAGTGAGGCTGAGTTGCTTATGGAGCAGATGTGCACAGATGTTGTGTGTCCTTTATTGCTAAATGTGCAAAGCAAAGAGGCTCATTTATGGGAGATGAATTTTTTTGAACAGCCAGCGATACCAGTGAGGAAGATGTCTGTCTGCAGTCTCATCTTTGCTTGTTCCAGAAAGCATGGAAGAAGCCTGCCTGTCAAATATGAGCAGTAGAGAGGAGGCAATTGTTTTGTGTGAAAAGTGGGAATGTTCCCTGCACATGTGTGGGTGTGATGGGTTGACCCTAACCAACTGCCAAGCACCTACCCAGCTGCTCGCTCACTCCTCTCTCCTGCAGGATGAGGAGAAAGAAGGCAGACAAGACTTGTGAATGGAGAGAAAGTTTAACAGGTTAGGGAAAAGCTGCATGCTGGCAAAGCAAAATAAGGAATTTAATTAATGTGTCCCATCAGCAGGCAGATGTTTAGCCATTTCCTGGGTCTCAGCATGCATAATGTTTACTTGGGAAGACCAATACTGTAACCATAAACATCCCTGCATGCTCCTCCTTTCATTAAGCTTTTATTTGCTGAGCATGACATCATAAGGTATGGAATATCCCTTTGATCACTTTGGGGTAACTGTCCTGCCTATGTCTGTTCCCAGCTTCTTGTCCATCACCAGCCTACTTGCTGGGAGGGATGCAGAGTGAGAAAAAGAGAAAGCCTTGACGTGCAAGCACTGTCTAGCAAGTAGCCAAAATACTGGTGTGCTATCAACACTCACCCTCACAATCCAAAACACAGCACTGCATGGGCTACTATGAAGAAAATTTTAACTCCATCCCAGCCAGACCCAATATGATGGGATGGCAATCAGAAAGGAGATAGAAGCACCCTTGGGTCTTGTATCTGGTGCTGCAGTCACCTGTTGTGATAGTCTTCCAACAGACATCGCTCGCCTATCCTGTCTTCTGAGAAGTCTTGCCTCTATTTTCCCATGATCTCCAAAAAAATTAATGAAGCCGAGTTCACTTAACCTCTCTTTTCACTGGGAGGATTCCAGGTTTGATGTCCTATGACACACCGCCTTCTTTCTTCTAGAACCTCTTTTATCATAGTGAAGTGGTCCGTTAGCCTCAGTTTTCTCTAGAGACAATGGTAAGATATTGAAGATTTGGAGAAGAATCCTCACTGCAACGTTTTGAAGAAATGTGACCAGTAGGATTTAGTGGAAAAAAGCCGAATGGGCTATTTCCTTGCAATCTAGTAACGGAAAACACTCAGTGCAATTCAGAAAGACAAAGCCAAGGCATCTGTGGAAGAGAAAGAGATACCTGTCTGGGAACGACATCAATGCAAAGTTGAAAGGATCACTGAGAGCCAAGAGAAGCCACTTGGTGTGCTGATGCAGGAAAGTTGCGCCAACAGCAGGAGCAAAGGGACTTCCAACAGCCAAGGACCTTGCAGGTTCTTGGAACTGCTCCTCATCCAGACGCATCTGTAGCACAGATTCTTGTTTCTGCACAGTTCATCCTTGAACTCCTATGATCCATTAAGAACTTATTTGTGACAGAAAAATGAGGGTCCTGGGAACATTGGCTGTGGCCCCAGGAGAGAAAGTTATTGGCAGCCATCCCTGTGTGCAGCCTTGGATGGCAGAACGCATTGCAGTTACACACCATGCTTGCTGTGTTAAGTACATAGCAATATGAAAACCATGGATTTAGGCTATGAATTAAAACTATGACTTTCAAGCAAATATTCAGGAAGAGTCAGTGGAAGACGTTTTAGGAATTTCTGGGTCCAAAGAGCAAAGGACAAAACAGACTGGGAAGCAAAGACAGTACTGGGCCAGTTGCCAGCCTCATCCTAACCTGGTGACTTGGAGTATCTGGACAGAACTATCTATGTGCAAAGGTGTTACTTTTCAGCTAGACGACAACCCACCACAGCACCGGGATTTCTGTATGAGGATGCAGATCTTCGCAGAAGTCTGTCCTAGTCATTTAGCCTGAGAGGCCACCTGGAAGCTGGGCACTGTAGAGTCCATCAAGTCCGGTTTCTTCCTGGCAAGCCAGCAGTCAGCTGGTGGGGGTGGAGGTGTGCAGAAGAACTAGAAAATGAGTGTCGTGGTTTAGCCCCAGCCAGCAACTAAGCACCACGCAGCCGCTCGCTCACTCCCCCTGCCCCGGTGGGATGGGGGAGAGGATCAGAGGAGTAAGAGTGAGAAACACTCCTGGGGTGAGATAAGAACAGTTTAATAATTGAAATAAAGTAAAATAGTAATGATAGTAGTAACAAAATAATAATATACAAAGCAAGTGATGCACAATGCAATTGCTCACCACCCGCCGACCGATACCCAGCCAGTTCCCGAGCAGCGATTGCTGCTCCCCGGCCAACCCCCCCCAGTTTCTATGCTGAGCATGATGTCACATGGTATGGAATAGCCCTTTGGTCAGTTTGGATCAACTATTCTGGCTGTGCCCCCTCCCAGTTTCTTGTGTACCTGGCAGAGCATGGGAAGCTGAAAAGTCCTTGACTGGCATAAGCAGCACTGAGCAACAACTAGAACATCAGTGTGTTATCAACATTCTTCTTATCCTAAATCCAAAACACAGCACTGTGCCTGCTACTAGGAAGAAAATTAACTCTATCCCAGCCAAAACCAGGACAATGAGTTAATCTGCAGATACTTCTCATCAGGGATGTGCAGATTCAGCTTTCAAACTGTTTTGCACAGTGCAGAAGTGACCCTGAATTTCCTGCAGTTGTGTGATTTGAGTGGACAAATTGTGACCGATTTCCAATGGCACAGTCGGCAGTGGGAGGCGGAATTTGGCAGAGCCCTATGTGTCCTCCTCTTGTGGATGTGGGAAGCGTAGAGCAGTTACATTGCAGTCTGAAGAGAGCTTCTGGCAAATGGGAAGGGAGATGGCACTGCTTTCAAACGCAAGACGTAAAAGCAGAAGTAGTCAGTGCTGGATTAGTCTGAAGATCCATCCAGCCCATCATCATGTCTCCAGCAGAGACCAGCAGGGGAAGGAAATCAGAATGGAGACAGATAGTGGATGCCTGGAAAACAGTACAAAGACATAATGATTATACGCAAGACTTCACTGCTACTTTTCATTTTCTGGCTACACTAGCTCTGAAAAAGACATGGCATCTTTATGTTTAATACTCCTTGGTTTTTTTTCTTTGT